TCCTTATTTGGGTTTATGAAAGGACACAAAGAGAGTCATCATGTTACACATGATAATAAATATACAGAGGAGCACAAGAAGAAGCACAAGGATCAAGGTCATGTCATCCATGCACTAAAGAAGTACTTGTGTCTGATGGAAAAAAAGGAAATTTGAGTCCACAGACATACTTCTTCTTCTTATTATTACTCAGTGAATAAGAAAAAACAAAATTCACCACCAACATCAATTTGGACGACGAGTCTTCTGTATGGAACCACTCCTCCTCTTCCTTCCAGAGACGATACCATGGTAGAGTGCGAATTGGGGGGATTTTCTTTTGTTTCTTTTACTTTTTCTTGAATTATTTCTTTTCATTTAGAGGAATTAATGACATTTTTAATTGTAAGTTGTCTATTTATATTTTATGATGAAATTATTTAGAGATGCGTTTTATAAAATGAAGCAGTGAATAATAGATTTTTTAACAAAAAAAAAATAGAATAGTAAAATTAAAAATCTAAGTGTGAGTAAAGGGGAAAAATAATAATCTTCATTGATTTTCAATAGTAGAGAAAAGAATAGTATTCTATAGTTAAATTGACTACATACGTATTGAATGATATTATTATATACATATTTTTGTTATAAAATAGAATGGAATTTTGAAACTAAATAGACAAAATATAAGCGTTCATTTAAAAATAAAAGAAAAGTCACTCATGTACTAGAAAAAAGCGTATATTCTTTCATCGCATTCAATTGTGATGGTTTTTTTTTTTTTTAAACTAATTGTGATGGCTTCTAATTCTTCAAAGGAGTACGATATTGTAACAATCAATCAGAGTTACTATGAATCAATTTTCCTGTTAGATTGATTATATTGATCCAATGATTATATTTATTTTCATCTTTGTATGATTATGATTCCTCATATTTAATACTTTATATTTATTTTCACCTTTATATGTTTATAATTCAACATAATTAACTTAACGGTAAAATTGATTGGTAGTAATATTAATAATAACTTTAATTGATTATTACAATATCCTACTCCTTTTTCAAATACTATACCATCCGAAATAATAAAAAATACAATTTAACTAATGTTTAGAGTTTATAACGAGGAAAAGGGTATTATAGTTACCTTTTTTATATATCTGCTGTATCTATTTTTTTCAATATCATTATATCATATTTTAAAAGGAGAGAGAAAGAAAATATTATATATTTTTTCTCTTATAAAGGGGGGCAAAATTATAATGTAAATTTTTTGTTTGAAATTATAACTATTTATATGAAAAAAAAATGATACTTACAAACTAAAGACTTCTATAAGATTTGAAGGGGTCGAATATCAAATATATGACTAAAAACAAAAATAATGCTCATGATTATACAAATGTGCCTCGTTAGCCCTTCTCCCACTCCATCACTGATGGGAGGGGTGCCTAACTAATTATATTATTTTAATATATTATTTTGAATTTATTAAAAAAATAGTGTAGAAATCAATTTTAAAATTAAATATATAATTTTTTTATAGAGAATATTTTTATCTATTTATATCATATCCCAACATTATCTGATTCATTCCAAATATAGGGTAGGATAAATCAATCATATATATCATATGAGCTTATTGTTATGGACCTGATAAATGCTCACGTTCTAGAAGGCCAAAATAGGGCTAATGGCTAAGAGAGAATTAAGAAAATATTTTTTAATTATACTAATCCTACTACGGTAGCAATAGATCAACAATTGGACCCTCGATACTCCTAAGAGGCCCAGAAGTCCACTCCTACTAAGGGGTTAAGTCGATAAGGTACACATACTCTAAACTCTCTCTTAGCTTGTCACTGTGTAGACACCCCATGCCTTGACTATGTTGTTTGTATTATTGTGCACAGTGATCCGCTGATTTCTAGGGTACCTCCCCAATTGGTACTTGAAAGAGAACAAACAGATCCTATATTAACATATCAATATCTGATTGAACATCTTGATCTATCGAATCGTAACACTTATCAAGCCCTTATCATTTCCTAGTCCTATCAGCCCACTTAACTTCTCAGCCCTGACCATATCTGTTAAGCAAATGAACATTTAGTCTTTTACTTATCACTAAGTAAGGATGTATATGAGTTAGGTAGCTTATCATGGGCATGTAATTTGCTTGCTTTTGGCATGGTCTGACTTGCCTTATTTTAAAATAAATATAAGTTTGAACTCATTAAAAAATTTATTTAAAAATCAGGTCACAAGTCTATTTTAGCAAGCCTGACTTCTAAGTCTTCAGGCTAACTTGTATTTTTTAATAAATAATATTTTATTTTAATTTTAAAAAATAGTATTTTTTTTTTATTTTTTAATAAAATAATATTTTGTTATTTATCTTGTTATTTTTTAATAAAATAAAATCTTATTTTTTTTAGTTTTCCTAATTTTCATAATCTTTTCTCTTTTCACTTGGCAAAAATATATTTTCTTGTCCTTAATTTCCTTCCCCACCACCGCTCTTTTCACTTGGGGATATTGTATCCATTTACATATCTTCTTCTTGTTTGTTGAGCATGTGTTTATGTTTTCCTTACAAATCATGTAAGGACAACAACAATAATGCAACTCAGCATTGAAGATGTCCACCAATGACCAATCAACCAACTTATATTTGTTTGTTGTAAGTTTTGAACTGTAATATACTTGTCATTCTAAAATTTGACTTCTAAATATATTTATATTTTATTAGTATGATTTGATTGGCTTTCATTGTTTGTTGGTTGTTTCTTTTATGATTAAATATCATGGTTATTTAGTATTATAATAAATACTTTTGAGCTTATTTTTTACACACAAACACATATGTGTATGTGTAGGCATATCTACGTGCGTATATAAATTTTTATTTTTTTTAAGTAAAATTAAAATTTAATTTATAATTAAAAATTAATACAATTAGATTTGATTGATTGTTTTTTATTGTCAATAAGGTAGTTAAATTATCATTATTTTGGTTCAGGTATTGTACAAATTAATTATAACCTATAATTTATAATATATTATTTTTGAAGGCTTAATAGACTTGATACTTAATAAGCTAGATCAAGCCTTATATTTTTTAAAAACAAGTCAAATCAAGCTTATAATTTAACTTATATCAGGCTAACAAAGCAAAATAGGTTTGAAATAATTTACATAAGCATCGCGGTTCAAACTAAAGTTACATAGCATGGGGAATAGTTCCCAAGTTTATAACAACATTTTCTTATGATATATAAGATATATCTTTCAAGAAGGCAAAAAAATTGATATATTATTTTTTAAATAAAAAATTACGAATTTATGACAGTTTTAGAAATAATTACACATTTGTTGCACAATATCACGTCCAATTTGGGCGTCACCAATCATGCCTAAATTGGGCATCACTCAAGAGGCAATCACGTGTAATTTAGGAGTCACTCATCAGGTCTTGACACGTGTCATTTTTTTTTTCGAAAAAAAAATTAACAATTTAATCGTAAAGCTTCTCAAGGCCATAACTTTTGATTCGAGTATCCAAATCAGGTAATTTTTTTTTTGATTCCACATAACTTTTCGAGATCTACGCAATGATATCTCATTTGACATATTTTATTTCTCACAAACACAATTTAAATTTGCAAGAAATAATATTATAAGAGCGGTTAAACCCAGAAGCATCTGAGTTATGGTTTTGTGATTTAATATAAAAATAAATAAAGATTTGATTTGTGATTTAAATTAAAAGAAAATAATTTTTTTATTATAATTTTTTTTTTGGTTTGCGGTTTAAATTAAAAATTAAAATAAAAATAATTATTAATAAGGAAAACAAAATAAAGATTTGATTTGTGATTTAAACTCAAAAATTAATTTGAAAAATCTGTATTAATAAAGAAAATAATTAAATAAATATTCTAAATCTCTAAGGAAGAAGGATTTTATTTTTGAAATTAATTATTAATGCTATAAGCTTCTGGGTTATTATTCGTGGTCTGAAATTAATGATGACTTATGAACATTTTTCAAAAATAAAATCCTTCTTCCTTAGAGATTTAGAATATTTATTTAATTATTTTCTTTATTAATACAGATATTTCAAATTGATTTTTGAGTTTAAATCACAAATCAAATCTTTATTTTGTTTTCCTTATTAATAATAATTTTCATTTTTATTTTTAATCTAAATCAAAAACCAAATCTTTATTTATTTATTTTATATTAAATCACAAACGCAGAACTCAAAGGCTTCTGGGTTTAACCGCTCTTATAATACCATTCTTGCAAATTTAAATTGTGTTTGTGAGAAATAAAATATGTCAAATGAGATGTCATTGCGTAGATCTCGAAAAGTTATGTAGAATCAAAAAAAGAATTACCTGATTTGGATACTCGAGTCAAAAGTTATGGCTTTTAGAAGTTTTATGATTAAATTATTAATGTTTTTTTTGAAAAAAAAAAATGTGACACATGTCAACACCTGATGAGTGACGCCTAAATTAGGTGTGACTGCCTCTTAATAACGCCTAAATTAGGCATGATATTGTGCAATAAACGTGTAATTATTTTCAAAATAGCCATAAATTCATAATTTTTTATTTAAAAAATAATAAATTACTTTTTTTGCCCAGTAAAATAAACATTTACTCAACATTAAAAGGACAAATTATGTCAACCTCAAATTATTATATAAATATTTTTAGTTTAATTATTTTTGTATTACTTTTATATAGATGGCAGTGAAGTAATATTTGAACCAACCTGCGTATACCTTTGAATAATCTACAACTAACAAGTCTGTTCAAGGAACAAATATATAATATAATATACTACTTTTACAACCATATAATCATAAAAAGTTATAATATTTGACAATAATTCTCAAAATATAGTTTTTGTGAAGATTTATCAACAAAAATATACGACATAAGTTACTCAACTCCATTGGCAGTGCACAGAAGATAAAACAATGAAAATGTATGCTTATCTCTTCTACAGAAAATTTATAAATTTGGTAGTGCCTGACGCCATAGTTTTATCCATTATCCTCATCAGTCATTACAATTTTAGAAAATAAAAATTGCTGCGAATTTTGATTGTTTCGTTACAAAGATAATTATAACTTTCAAGTTAACAAAGGCTACGTGACATTCTCGAAATTAATTAATAACGTGAATACAAGGCCTTATCGTCTATCCATGCAGGCTTCTTCGCATTGTAATAAAAAAATGCAATCATCTGAACCAGCTCATCCGCAGTTCTTAGTTCTGCAAAGGCATAGTTAACAGCACATCAATATGATAGAAGAATCCTAGACAAAGAGAATGTGCATGTGTTGGTACCAACCAAACAAAAACTAAGTCTCTAATATATATAAAAATATGATGAGAAAGATCAACAATCTCACCTGTCTCCCTGTACACGATCCTGTTCCCCCTTAAAAATAAAATTTGAGGACATTCTCTAACTTTCAGAGCGTAAGCCAAGTCTCTCTCGATATTAATATCTATCTTAACCGCCTATAAATAGAAAATTTAATGTATTATCAACATCAACAGCAACTGTATCCAAAACAGGAATGCAATGTATTATATGGTAATGAAAAAGATAAGAGACTCCAGGTAATAAAACGGTGAGGTTATCACTTTGTAACATTCCTATGCTGATAAATAACAGGAAATATAAATCTAATTAGTGGTGACCAGAAGGGAGGTTTGTTTTGTAGTGATAAAAAGCTATTTTCATTTCAAGTATGTAATACATGGAAGTGCAGTTTTAGTACAAAAATTTGACCATGAATACCAAAAAAATAAAAATTGACCATACCCGGGGAGGCAACCGATCTTTGGCACTCCAGTACACCTTAATTGCTTTCTCCAGCTCTTTCAAATTTTTCCAGTTATCATTTGCCCTGTGGAATAACAAAATTAAACCCCAAAGCCTGCATTTAGTTATCAATAAATAAAAAGTTTATTTAAAATCGCTATCAACATATCATTACTGTAAGGCGGCGTTTTCATATATTCAAATTTTAAAATACACAAAATATATAACTACAACAAGTGCTATAGAAACTCTTTTCAAATAAATTTTTTTATGCATTCTACACTCAATTAAGTGTGTCATTGCCTGTTTATAAAAAAAAAAACAAAAAGTGTCATTGCCTTATCAGGTGCCTCTCAATAAATGGCAATAACATTTTGGTAACAACTGACATCTTAAAAGAAAAATGTGTAGTAAATTATTGCCACCATAAACCCTTCCAAAAAAATTGAATTTTTTTATATAGAAGAAGAAATTTAATTAAAGAGAAGAGAACCAAAATATAAAATTAAAAATGGAGACATCCAGTTTCTCACTTCAATGAAAAGAAAGTTTATTTTTACTTTCACAGTTCACACACGGAAATCTTTCAAACGAAAAAATAATAATAATTAAAATGACAATGTGAAAACTGTTTTCAGGACATTATAGCAAAAAGCCATATGCCCATATCATCACTTTGGGCCCTAATTCTAATGATATGGAAAAAAAGTATTCAATTTAACCAACCAACAAGGTGTTCCATACTCCCATATGCTTTATTTTAAAAGTGAGGATAGAAGAATCGGTATATATATCAAGGTTCACACTTCCTTTGGTGTTCTACAAATGATCCAATTTCTCTTTCCATTTTAATGATCAAAAACCACATAACAGTAGAATTTACCTGTTATACCGTTCAAAGACAAGGACAATTAATGGGCTGGGATGAAAAGCAAAACTTTCCCACTCCAAACAGTTGATCTCCCGCACCCAGTTATCATCAATCTCCCCTTCCCAGTCAATTTCAACACCATTTTCCCCTACAACATTCTTTATTGGATGATTCTCAAAATACTCAGAAGCTCTTACTCCCCACCCAACATCAGCATCCAATGGCCAGTTTTGATTTTCTTCCTCAATCATCATCTTCTTTCCTCTGTTATCCCCATTATCTTCCTCTTCCTCTTCCTCCTCCTCCTCCTTCTCCTTCTCCTCATCATCATCATCATCATCATCATCATTGCTTTCAGATTCAGAATCATCACGAACATTTCCCTTCATTATATTTTCATGATTCTCCAAAACATCCGAGTTCTGTTGCCTAATTGCATCAAAAGTGCGTTCAAGTGAGTCCCGTACAAAATCTTCCACTGCCATTGCTTCACTTCTACGCCCACGCCTCTTCTTCCTTGGAATTATTGTGGGGAAGTTCTCGGCAGAACTTTTATTATCATTGCTGGATACCACATCTTGAGGTTGGGGACTTGTTGCCTCAGGTCTTGCTCTTTGGTTGGAGCTAGGTTCAGGTTCAGGTTCAGGTTTTGAATGAGATTTTCTTGAAACGGAGCATGATTTAGACTTTACAATGTGATGGGTAGATACAGGGGAATAAAATAAGGATCCTAAATGAGAAACAACATGAGCAGAACCAAAACTAGGGTTCTGAACATTAACTAATGACATGGGATGCCAACTAGCATCAAATTTTGTTGCACAAAAAGGTCTAGGCAGGACAGCAGTTTGGAGAAATAGCATTTTCATCTTCACAATCAAACAGGAAACAAGGTTGTCAATGCAAAAACATCTCTCTCTCTCTCTCTCTCTCTCTCTCTCTCTCTCTCTCCTCTGCTTTCTGCTTAGCCTGGTTATTAAAAAGAAAAACATAAAATTTTAGAATAGAAAGGGAGAAGATTGTGACAATCATTGTTGAGAAAATAAACAGGGAACTTAGAAAATCATAAAATTAAAAGAAATTGAAACTCATGGTTGGATTATTTTCTCAAACAGGTGGTGCTCAAAACAAACAGGAGGCCAAAACAACCCAAATGCTCCCTTACTTACTATATTTTGAAATGATTCAACAGAAGCCCGTAATTAGAGACCAATAGCCACTAATATGAGTGTAGCTCTATGAATAATGGTAGTTTCTCCTTCTCGTCACTCGTCGCTTCTGATAACTATTCTATGCTCTTCTGCTTCATCTATCGCCACTTCATGTCAATCACTATAGATGTCGATTTGGACCAAAATTCTCATTTGGGCCTTCTCGTGTATATAAGAAAATAAATCTATTTTTGGGCCGTTCACACAGAGAAGTCAATAGTTTATGGGTTTTATTTTTCTTATGTTGCATGAGACAAGTTGTCTCATGCAACACACAGAAAATGAGTGGGACCCGCTTCTTTATTTTCTCTTTCTTCCTTTTTAGCGGGTCCCACTCATTTTCTGTGTGTTGCATGAGACAACTTGTCTCATGCAACATAAGAAAAATAAAACCCATAGTTTATATTATCTTGAGCCTCAGCGATATGAAAAAGTGAAACATTAATATACTCTTTAACTAGTTGATTACCCGTGAGAGGCGAAGAGAAAGAATAAATCGGTTTGTTTGTCCCGTAAACGAATTAATAAGAAAATCGATTTGTTCGTATGACATAAACGTGTAACTTTTAAGGTAAGAACAAAAAAAGAATATAATAATTTAAACACAGTAAATTTCATTGTTGACAGCAAAATCTCCATTAAAATAATCTAAATGTCATGTTGACAGCAATATAATAAGAAATATGCCCAACCGATACTCACAATAGTTGTAAAATATCGTCCGCCAAGCACTATTGGTATTTGCTGCTGTTCGAAATGAATCATAAACAATATATAAATAATAATTGGAAAAGAAAAAATTATTGAAAGAAATTATATAGTTTATGGCAGATGAATAATTCAGAATTACAAATAATCAGCGATAAATAAAATAAAGAAAAGAGCAGAATAATGGAATAACAGCCTATGATGCACGGACACGGACACGGGACACGGGACACGACACGACACGCCGACACGTTAATTCTAAAAAATGTCATATTTGGACACGTTGGGAAACGTTTTGATATTAAATAAAAATTTTAATATATATAATATAATTTATATTTAATACATATAAGCGTTCATAATAAGTCATATAACCAATCAAATATTTAAATTTCATAACATAAATATAAATATAAATAATTTTTTGTACTTTGTTAATTTTTCATGTCAAATTTCATAACAGAAAAAAATTAATTTATAAATTATTTCTTTTATATTTAGTTAACAAAATAAAATTAAAATTAAAAAAAAAAAACGTGTCCGAGCGTGTCCTAAAAAGTTGACCGTGTGTCCGAAAAACGTGTCGGAACGTGTCGGAGAGTTGACCGCATGTCGGACGCGTGTCCGAGCGTGTCCATGTCGGACACGTGTCCGACACGCAAATTTTTTTTCAAACCGCTTGTCCGTGCTTCGGTGATAACAGCAGCTCGCACCTTTTTTTGAAGTCGACAATCTCTGGTACACTGGGATCGATAATTATCCTCGTCGTATACTTTGTATTTGTTATTCCAATTTTTCCTTTAAAATTTATTATTAATTTCAAAACCATAAGGAGGGAAATAAACTAAAACATTCCATTATGAAATCATAATCAAATATTTATGTGAACTCACCCCTGAAACCCTTTATTCTAGCAAGCTGAACTATCATCACGTTTTGAGGAGACTGATTACTCCCCAAAAATTGTTGCACCTAGTCCACGTAGTCCTCCCAGAGAGTGCACTCGAGCTTGTGACCCCTACTTGCACAGTTTTTGCAACAAATCACGAAATAGAATTTTACATCAAATGAATATAACACATAACAAATAATCAATAGATACCTGAGGTTATCAAGCTCCACGACAACCATTTTTGTCTTCCTACCGGAGATAATATGCTCACGAACTTCCCCTATTCCAGAGACTAAACCAATGACATCTACACATTAAGGATGGTTAGACAGATGATATCGTCACACAAACAACAAAAGCATGACTTACAGCATGAACAGGTCAAAATCTACAAACCTACTAAATAAGGGAAATCAGAAGACTCTTTCTCTATAACGTCAAAATCTACAAAATCAAATCCATTGGTGGGAATAGCAGAATCAATAGTGGATTTTACATCAGTCCTCAAGTTGAAAGACAAACGATAATCATGCTTAGTTGGCCTAAAACTACCACTATTCAAACCAACTCCAAAATTTTTTATGAAATAAACTTCTCCTTTGTAAATTTTTTTACGGATATGCAAAGAACCCTTGACAGCAGCGTGAACCCTTCCACCCTACAAAACGCATGCATAGATTAGTAAATTTTAAAAACATGGACCGCAAACCAACAGTAATATCAAAAACAAAACAAAAACAAATACCTTTTCATCTAATAGAATCATCTCTACGTTGTCGTCAAATTTTTTTTGCTGAAAATTAGGAACCTTCCATGTTCTAACAACTCTAGCTTTAATCCTCCACTCCTCCTTAGTTGGATTAAGATCCTTAATAAAATCATACTTGGAATACATAACCAAACGTATATGAGGTAATATTGGCTCAAAGCCTTTGAGGACAAAGAAAAGAACGAAATAGAGACGCTACAAATGTGCCCAAAGAAGCTGATCAGCAAACGAACATATGTTGTTCCAAATACCTATTTATACACGAATATGCACTATTCGATTTAAAAATAGTCATTTAATTATTCGATTTAAAAAATAAAATTCGATTTTTAAAAGAAATTCTTTTCCCACCATCCATATTTAAATTCAAAATTTTAAATCATTTCAAATTTCGAATTTTAGATCAGATGACCAATTCTAAAATAAAAAGCAATTAAAACAACTAATTTCTTTTTGGATACCAATGTGATGGGCAGTGGGACATTCAATGTCTTGTCTGCCACCACAAATGGTCATTTAATTATTCGATTTAAAAATTAAAATTCGATTTTTAAAAGTAATTCTTTTCCCACCATCCATATTTAAATTCAACATTTTAAACCATTTCAAATTTTGAATTTTAGATCAGATGACCAATTCCAACATAAAAAGTAATTAAAACAGCTGATTTCTTTTTGGATACCAATGTGATGGGCACTGGGACATTCAATGCCTTGTCTACCACCATAAATGGTCATTTAATTATTCGATTTAAAAATTAAAATTCGATTTTTAAAAGAATTTTTTTTTCCCACCATCCATATTTAAATTCAAAATTTTAAACAATTTCAAATTTCGAATTTTAGATCAGATGACCAATTCCAACATATAAAGCAATTAAAATAGCTGATTTCTTTTTGGATACCAATGTGACGGGCAGTGGGACATTCAATGCCTTGTCTGCCACCACAAATGGTCATTTAATTATTCGATTTAAAAATTAAAATTCGATTTTTAAAAGAAATTTTTTTCCCACCATCCATATTTAAATTCATAATTTTAAACAATTTCAAATTTCGAATTTTAGATCAGATGACCAATTTCAACATAAAAAGCAATTAAAACAGCTGATTTCTTTTCGGATACTAATGTGATGGGCAGTGGGACATTCAATGCCTTGTCTGCCACCACAAATGGTCATTTAATTATTCGATTTAAAAATTAAAATTCGATTTTTAAAAGTAATTCTTTTCCCACCATCCATATTTAAATTCAAAATTTTAAACCATTTCAAGTTTCGAATTTTAGATCAGATGACCAATTTCAACATAAAAAGCAATTAAAACAGCTGATTTCTTTTTGGATACCAATGTGATGGGCAGTGGGACATTCAATGCCTTGTTTGCCACCACAAATGGTCATTTAATTATTCGATTTAAAAATTAAAATTCGATTTTTAAAAGTAATTCTTTTCCCACCATCTATATTTAAATTCAAAATTTTAAACTATTTCAAATTTCGAATTTTAGATCAGATGACCAATTCCAACATAAAAAGCAATTAAAACAGCTGATTTCTTTTTAGATATCAATGTTATGGGCAGTGGACATTCAATGCCTTGTCTGCCACCACAAATGGTCATTTAATTATTCGATTTAAAAATTAAAATTCGATTTTAAAAGAATTTTTTTTCCCACCATCCATATTTAAATTCAAAATTTTGAACCATTTCAAATTTCTAATTTTAGATCAGATGACCAATTTCAACATAAAAAGCAATTAAAATAGCTGATTTCTTTTTGGATACCAATGTGATGGGCAGTGGGACATTCAATGCCTTGTCTGCCACCACAAATGGTCATTTAATTATTCGATTTAAAAATTAAAATTCGATTTTTAAAAAGATTGTTTAGAAATCAAGTCACAAACCTATTTTAACAAGTTTGATCTCTAAGCCTTCAAATTGACTCATATTTTTTTATTTAAAAAAGTAATTTTATTATTTTTTAATTAAATAAAATATTTTATTTTTCAATAAAATAATATCTTTTATTCATGTAAAACAATCATATAAGTTTCCTCTTTTAATTTAATTTGATTGAGAAATCTAACATTCTTTTCAGATTTTCTTTCAATTAAGTCAAATATGTATGATTTGAGAAAAAAAATTTAACTTGTTTAACATATATCCTGCGAAAATAATTCATGTAGAACGGATTTGATTGAGATATCTAATATTTTTTTTTGATTTTTCTATTAATTAGGTCAAAGATATGTATGATTTGAGAAAAATTCATAGAATGGTCTCCCTCCCATTCTATAAAAGACGCAATACACCATGTCTCCAATGCATTACCACGCTCTCCACCAACTCCATGGAATGTTTAACCCCCCACATGCTAAAGTCATTAGATGAAGAAAATAGAAAGAGCAACGAGAAGAATGATAGAGGAACAAACGTACAAGGTAAGTTCAAACATGCTTTCTCATTATTTGGGTTTATGAAAGGACACAAAAAGAGTCATCATGTTACACATGATAAAAAATATAAAGAGGAGCACAAAAAGAAGCACAAGGGTCAGGGTCAAGCCATCCATGCACTAAAGAAGTACTTGTGTCTGATGGAAAAAAAGGAAATTCGAGTCCACAGAAATGATGCTTCTGCTTCTTCTAACTCAGTGAATAAGAAAAGACAACATTCACCATTAACATCACTTTGTACGACGAGTCCTCTGCATGGAACCACTCCTCCTCTTCCTT